TTCCCGATCAAGGAAACATACAGTCAGGAAGATGAGCTCCAAGCCAGCCCCCATGTCAGAGGATGAAAGACAGCACATCCAGTTAGTCATGGTCAGAGAAACAGGACTACACTGAAAAACAGGCCAAGCTCCAACATCTATAAACAAGGGTGTTGGTGGCAGCAGCACAGCTGATATTTCTCTCCAGGATGAAGTCACAGGCAAACAGGAACAGACCAGATGAAGCTACTATGAGAAAAATCAGAGAGAGCAGAACGTTAGAAATTGAACTAACAGATTCTGCAGAGTGGGAGAATAGAGATAGAATGAAGCAGAATGATGAAAAGGATACCTATGTCCTCCAGAAGTCTAAGCCTATAGCAGCATAACTATATAGATAGCTCAGGATAACCTAAACCCCTTTAACTTTAAGCTTTATCAAAACGGAAAGTTTGAAGTCATGCCTTAAAAGTAGCCAGAGTGTCTGCCTCATGGACTAAAACTGGTAGAGTAGCAGTGTGTGGGAATGGGGCTTGAACTCAGAAGCAAGCGCAATGCCCTAACCACTAGGCTGCCACTCCCCCAAAGCAGGCAGTAGCATGAAGGGTCTTACCTAAGGACCCACTCTGGCAGCTCATTCCCCCCAGCTGTGATACAAACTCAGGCCTCCTGTTTGCAGGACGGTTGACTTACCACATGAGCTAGCCAGACACTAGTAACCTGCAGATTGAGAGCAAAGTTCTCTGTTAGGAACATAAGGAACAATCAGATCTCTGATATAAGATGGAGCTTGGCCATTTAAGGCTTTATATGTGAGAAGGAGGATTTTAAATTCTATTCTGGATTTAACAGAAAGCCAATGAAGAGAAGCTAAGATAGGAGAGATATGATCTCTCTTTTTAATTTTCATCAGAAATCTGCCTGCAGCATTTTGGATCAGCTGAAGGTTTTTAACTACAGTTTGTGGACTTCCTGATAGTAAAGAATTACAAAATGGGATGGATTCACCAAAACAGTAAACAAACTTTCTTTAAAGCCATTTCAAGAAATCTCAAATGTAGTTAAGGTGTAGAATAATGTTTCAAGAACAACTGTTGTCCTCATACCGATCACCATGTTTTGTCTGAAATGTCTGGTGTTCTCACTTATACAAAAATCACCAAGGGTTATTTTGTGACCTTGTCATACACTATGTTCTTAGAATGATACTAGATGGTTAACCACCACAGAGGAAGGTAGAAGTGGTCTTGGTTTCCTCATTTTTTACCCTTTCTGACTGCAACTGTTTCAAGATGATTAACCCTTTCCAGTCTGATCAGTAACTCTCGTTCTTAGTTTCATTCAAAATCCCCTTTTATGGATTTACTGAGTTATTGTTACTGCAAAATATGCTGGAGAGTCTAAATATTACCAACCCCAGTTTTCTTAAGCTGAATGGTAATTTCAGCAGTATTTTCGGGTTCTTCTCATAGATTTTTAAGGCATTCAGTGATATTGTACTGCAATAATGCAGCACATTTCAGAAGTCAGAAAACACCTGGCACAACCGAAGCACACTGCAAAAACTCCTCTAAAAATGAAAAATCTCTTCTTAAAATCACTGTATTTTTCCTTAATTCTATCAGTTAAATTAAAAAAAATTCACTTGAATTTGTATTTTTACTCTTAAAACAAGATAATTAGATACCGTGCACTTGAAATAAGATAATGGAGCATTTTTTTCTTATGTTAAAGGTATTATGGAGGATGTTCTTTTTTTAAAATAAGTGGTCCTCCTCCTAATCATCAATCATTCTGGTGATATGTTTACGTAAGGCCGTCCTACGTACTTGTCCCCATTTTCACTTACTGGTGGTGAGTCTGACATAGTGTAAAAATTACAAATCTCCTTTGGAAAGTGAACATGTATCAGTGATGCAAACAGCAACTTTTAATCAGAGCGTGCATGAGCAGAAATGGACTTCTGAATGTTCTCACACGTGTTTAACAGGCGTTCCCTTTCGGGAAGGATACAGGGTTTTGCATGTGCAACAAATTAACTTACTTAGATTTCTTTTTTTGCAGGGACCAGAAAATCTCTAAACTCAGTAGCATCACACACTCGGAGGTGCCTCCCAAGCTTTTAAGTTTCCTAAGATCCTTCAGCATTGTTAATCAGCACAGGAGGCCAAACATAACGACCAACAAACAATAAGCTGATCAAAGTTCAACACAAGGGGAGCTACTGGACAGGCAGCAAAGGAGGGAGTACTCTCCAAAGTCAACATGATCATCAGTAACAGCTCCCTGCATGTGTTATCCTTTGCAGAGGAGCACCTTCAGCCACAAGCCGATCTAGAATGATCATTCCTGCTCACAGCCATTAGGTTGTTCAGCAGAAAAAAGAAACATATAGATAAAATCAGAGATGCATCAATCTGACATGAATATCATTACCGGTCCCGGTATTTAAGAAAATTCTGAATTGACAAGGCAAGTTTATTTATATAGCACAGTTCAGTGCAAAGACAATTCAAAGTGCTTTACATGAGTTAAACAATATTATTATTATTAATATTAGAGCAAAATAAATGCAGAAGAAAAGCAAAAAAAGATAAAAGCATGATAAAAGCAGTTAGTAAAACAAATAAAACAGTTAGACCACAAACTTGAATCAATGATTCCTCAGTTTGAGTTTAACTTCATCAGTCAAAGGCAGCTCTAAACTAATGTTTTTTTAACTCTGACTTCAAAGAACTCAGGCTTTCAGCTATTTTCCAGTCTTCTAGGAGTTTATTCTAGATCAGTGTAACATAGAAGCTGCTTCTCCGTGTTTGGTTCTAGTTCTGGATGGACAGAGTAGGCTTGAACTATAAGGCCTGAGTGATCTGTGAGGTTGATACACTGACAACAGATCTGTATGGATTGAGGTGCTGATCTATTCAGTGATTTCAAGACTAACAGAAGCATTTTTAAAGTCTATTCTCTGAGCTACAGGGAGCCAGAGGAAGGACTTCAGAACCAGGCTAATGTGATCTACTTTCTTAGTTCTAGTGAGAACACAGGCAGCAGGGTTTTAGATCAGCTGCAGCTTTCTGATGGACTTTTGAGACAAACCTCTGAAGACAATGTTGCAGTGATCTATTCTACTAAAGATAAATGCATGAATGAGTTTTTCCTGATCCTGCTTGGATATTAGTCCTTTAATCCTAGAGATGTTCTTCAGCTGATAAAAGGCTGACATTGTAATTGCCTTTATGAGTCTCTGCAGGTTCAGGTCTGAGTCCATCATGACACCAAGATTTCAGCCATAATCATTGGTTTCTGGCTGTAGTAGGTGAAGCTGGGAGCTAATTCTGGATCTCTGCTCCTTTGGTCTTAAGATTATTACCTCGGTTTGTTTTTTATTCAGTTCTAGAAAATTATAGTGCATCCACATAATGATCTGTTCTACGCATCTAACCAATACCGGGTACCTGTGAAAAAAGTGGCAGATCTATTCTAACTACTTTTATAATGAATAAATTTTAGGCTAGAAATCTGTTGAACAGCAGAAGGTTTACCCACAAAATCCAAAACCTTACGGTTGATATCTCTTTACAGGATGGAATCTGTTCTGTTAAAACAATCAAGCCTTTATATGACTTTGTTTTCTGGCTTTATACTGACCTCAAGTTGCGTTTTGCGTTATATGTGTAAACTCATGCATATCATACCTGCTTGTAGAGAGGTGTAATGATGATAACATTAAAGCAAACTGAACAGTATCGGCAGTGTTGTGCATGAACGGCGTTCACTGAAAGCGTTCCTATGTTTAGTGAACGGTGGAACTGAACGGATCAGTTTTGAAGTAATGAATGTGAACCGAAGCTACGTTCACTCTGAGACTAGTGAATGACACTCACAGCTCTCGTTTGTGTTCAACTGAAAACAAGACTTTTCAGTGGATGAAGTCAGGTTTTGCTGCACTTGTTACAGCAAAAATCCTGACAGAGCAGCATGTCTGCTGCTAGTACTAGTCTGCTCCATTCAGACTCATCTGCTGGTATTTCTAATGCCAGTTTAGCAGAGTTTCATCAACTAACAAAGGAAGACTGGGACAGAAAAAAACTCGGGTTTTGGGGCAAACTGACCACCAGGACATAACAAACAAGTCCGTACCTCAGCCACGTCCACTTCAAAATCAAAGCCTCACATGGAGTTAAACCATCCAAGCTATCTTGGGAAATATCTGCTACTGAATGAGGAACAGAAGAGATCATTATGGATCTAGATCTTTTCAGCAGAACCTGAGTGTTCCTGTATGTTTCTGAAGTTTTGTGCAATTTGGCTAAATAAAGGCTTCACTGCACATCCAGTATACCTTTACTGCATCCAGTATTTTCCATTCCTTTCTATATATTATGATCACACATTTAAAGGGGGAAATACCAGATTCTATTGTGGCTTCATTTACCAAATGAACTGGAACTAGTTCATTTATAGGTATTGGCACTTAGTTCATTTTTTATTTTTTTTTTATGAAAAAGCGGAACTTTGAGCTCCTTCTTTTTAACTATGAACAACATTGATTAAGATACAAATGTAACATTTGTTTTTATTAATTGCCACTAAATATGTAACAAAGCCCTAAAGTTGAGTAAGTGTTAAATATTGTTTTAATAAATAAATTTTTTTAATAGCTTTTGAAAAAAATGTTCATGCTCATTTTACACATGCAGGTAAAACTTTAAGCTTCTAATACTGCTGTCAGGAAAACTTAATTTTACCAAGAACCAAACAAATCACTACAGCAACAAATCTATAGGTTCTCTCTTAAAATTAAATCCCATGAAAGGAGGTCAAGTCTGATATTTTCCCCTCAAACTAGACCTTTGCTGATAGAAAATCTCCACATATTTTAAAATCAATTATGCAGTGCGTATCCCTTTATCTGACAATAAAACCGATTTATAGAATCTGAACAGGCCACTGCGAGTTCTTTTCTCCAATGAGAGAAAGATGTGGTAAAACCAGGTGGTTTTAAGAAAAACAGTCAACAGTTCATGCTTTGAATTTTATTGCTGACTGACATTTGATCTACATGAATTCATTCACGAAGCTGTTAACCGTCCCCTCAGGGGTGTCTTCCACAGACTTTCCATGACAGAAAGAGGGCAGAGTGAGGAGGTCAGGATCCTTGACTTCAGGCTCAATGTCCGTGAGGCTGAAAAATAAAAGTAGAAATTACATGGAAATTTGGTAAAGTTACCTATTACATTCTGTTTATAGATGCCCAAAAAAAACACTCGAAACTAACCCGAAGAGGAATGATGTGGTATCAGTGAAATAGAAAGTGGACACTGGCAAACATCCCATGGTTGCAGACGTCCAATAGGAAGCTGACAGGAACCAGAAAACACATTTGTTTTTCACTGAATTGATAAGGTTGTATGGAAACAGGTCTTTTTTGCATCCAACCCACCTTTAGTATTGGGCAGGTCCCCGCCCCAGACATTGATCTTCAGCCTCTCGTCTTCAACAGAAGAGCTCCCCATGGTCATTGCCGTGTAAAACTTTGCATCATTGGGAATATCAAGAGGATGCCATGATATGTGAAGCTTGTTCTTCGTACAGCTCTGGGTTTTACCGTCAATCTCATAAAAGATATCCTGTGTGGGGTTAGGGGGGTTACGGACACATTCACTTCAAATAAAAAGAACAATGTGATCTTCCTTCTAACTGAGAATAAAAGAACAAGTTACCTCCTTGAAAAACATCAGCAGGTCCAGACCACGTGAGGAATCTGTGGGATGGCTCTCGTTGGATGTGAACCTTAGTTTCTCGCCCACTGAATCGTAAGTAAAGGCACCGACTGCTCTTGTTTCACCCTTTGTGGTGATCTTATAATTCAAAGCAGAAAATTAAGCCATCTGAAATTCCTTTCTGTTAAATTAAAATACAGATAAAGACTCACCACATTCATTAATCCAGTCATGTTGGGCGAATCTGAAAGAAAAGAAAAGATGATTCCATGTCCAAACCACATGGGGAAATTTAAGAAATCAACTTTTAACAGCATTAATAAAACAAAACGCATCTAATAAGAACACGAAATAGTTGAGAGATTTAACAGAAGTGTGGAGTATCTTACGACAAGGCTGGTGGTGGTGGTGGTGGTCCGCACTGCTGATGGCGGTCAGACATGTCAAGACCAAAAACACGACAAACATTTTTCTGATCAAACACCGATGGCAATAACCAGGAAACCAAGAACACATTTATGCATCTGAACCACCACCTGCTTTTATACAACCAGTATGATGCTTGCACAAAGTAGACCCCACCTCCGTCCCGGACTTCAAACAGTTTTAACATATAAACCTCTGACTCTGCAGGTAGGAGGGTGACCCCAATGATGACATGTTTCGGCTATCTCCTCTGTTATGTTTGTGCAGCTGTTGTTGCCCTGTGTTTTAAGACTTGCTGCCTTCAAGCTCCCATCATTAGAGTGAGCATGAATCCAAAGGGGAATGAAGGTTCATGTGAGGTATCGTGTGAAAAAAGATTTCAACTATACAGTCCAGTTTAAAAAACGAAGAGATCAATGGATTTTACTCAGCCGACACTTTATTTACTTTGCAAAGTAAATGAGAACCAAAAGAGATGGCAAAAGTACTCACTTTCCGTACTTGAGTAAAAGTACAGATACTTGTGTTAAAAAATACTCTGGTAAAAGTGGAAGTACTGATTAAACTTCTTTACTCAAGTAAAAGTAACAAAGTACAGGCTTGTAAATTTACTTAAAGTGTAAAAGTAAAAGTAGAAACCACTTTTTTCATGTCGTTGCCTACATTTTAAATGGATGTCTGCCAATAGGACTAGATCTCCGTTGTGTTCATTTTCAATCATCTCGTCGTCCAAGCTGCAATGATTTGCCACAATGAAATGAATACCGCCGAATCTGTTGATTCATCTTGTAGTGGTGCGTCAAATGCAACGTAGATTCCCATCCAATTAGATTGAATTTTGTATTGTTGACGTGAAAAATAATAACGGTAACTCCATTGAAATGATTCTAAACTAAAGTAACAAGCCAATTTTTTTTTAAATGTAAGGAGTAGAAAGTACAGATATTTGTGTAAAAATGTAAGGAGTAGAAGTAAAAAGTCGTCATAAAAATAAGTTGTAAAGTAAAGTATCAAAAAATCTCAGAAAAATCTACTTGAGTACAGTAACGAAGTATTTGTACTTCGTTACTTCCCATCTCTGGAACCAGACATTCACAATGTCACACCAGCACGAGGGTCTGCCCTGTTCAGTCTTTGACAGTCATTCCCTTACTTATAAGAAAGAGTCAAAAGAAATTACAGACACTTTACTTACACACTAACATGTTATGAATAGACCTTAAGAAAGTATTTGGTTTACTATGGGAGTAGGTATGTGATGTCTATAACCACCACTCAGCGAGGTATTTTGTGGCCTTGCAGGTAAAATAAACTGAATTTAAAACATTTTTCTAGAGAGAAAATAGCATACATCAATATACGAAGGAAGAAATTAATAGAATTTGAAATATTTCAACCAAGGTTGAAAAAAGGCAAGGTTTCTCTGGTGAAAACTCCACCAGCTGCCTCTGATTGGATTAAATACAAGGGTTTAAAGGTCCCATATTATGCTACATTTTCAAATAAATGATGTGGCGCTTTTTCAAATTAAGAGACTTGACCATAGTACTTCACACTACATACAGTCATTTACACACTTATGATGGCAAAGAGGGGAGTGGCGGCCTAGGTGGTTAAGGCATAGGGCTTTGGGGATGGGTTAACTGCAGAGAAGTAATTTCCCTCTGGGATTATTAGAGTATATATAAAAAATACATTGTAGTTGCCCTGGGGCACTGGTGGTGGCATACACTGGCACCACCATGCCCTCTGATGTAGGTGAAGTGTCTTGTCCAAGGATACAACAACACTAAATGCCAGAGTGTGGACTTGAACCGTCAACCTTTTGATTTCAGGGCAAACACCTACATCCACGCCACTGTCGACCCGACTAAAACATTTTTAACAATGAGCCCCCAGAGCATGTTTTTTGCCGTTTTGGTAAAACTCTTCATTCAGCCCTCTTCTAAACAAGCTGTTTGGACTTTCCACACCCCCGTCCCCTTTACTGCCAACCCGCTTCCATGACAACCAGTTAGAATTTGTAATGAAGTAGCTAGGACTAGGAGGCAGGATGCATCCTTGTGGCAATTCAGATAGCATAAGGACCTCCTTAGGTTCTTAGCTTCTGCCAAGAGCTATATGGTTTCTTACTATTTGCGTGAAAGAAGACACAGCCCTCCAGAGTTTTACAAAAATACATTTCATTACGTCTACTTTGTCCAACACAATCTAATGTCCTAACCTTCATATGTTTTGGGAAACTAAGATCTAACAGGAGTTAGCTAAAAGTATAAATATAGACCAATGAAAAATGCAGTTGGCTAATCGGAAAATTCTGTCGTGTATAAATGACACAGTTTTTGTCCAATCAGCCAATTAATCCTGTGTAAGGGTGTCACCTTTCTCATAACTCATCCAAAGTTCTCTTAAACTATTTTCTATATTATCCTGCTATGGGCTTTGACTGCTGGAGGACATAGAGAGGACTTTACATCATTCTACTTCATTCTACCTCTGTTCTACCCTTCTACAGTATTTGTTATTTCAACCAAACACTTTATGGTCTCTTCTTCTTTTCTCATCACCTCCCATGAAGGCTAGATTAGGTCCTGCTTGTGCCTCATTTGCCAAACAAGCCATACAGTGACTGTAGCATTCGAACTCCAGTCTACCAGGGCCTGCAATAAATTTGAGAACTTCTTCACTGAAAACGACCCCAAAGATCAAAGGGATAGTCTGTACATCCATGTCAAGTCCAGCACCAAAGTTTTCTTTAAATAGGAGATTTCAATTTCACCAAATAAACTACAAAAACCTAGAAGGAATCATTTAACTGAGCTCTTCCGCTGTGCTGCCTGCATGTTTTACCCACACCTTTCCCTAAGAAAGCTCTGCCTGTCATCATCTGATTTAACTCTAACAAAGAACACGTTCCTTCTATCAGGTGATTTCCCCCAGACCCTAAAAACAGCAACTATAAAACCGCTGCTGAAAAAAAAAGGAACTTGAACAAGCTGCTACTGCAGAACTAGAGGCCCATCTCAAACCTCACCTTCATCAGTTAGATTATTGGGAAAGCTCTGCTTTAGCAGCTAAACACCTTCTAAACAACGACCATCTGTTTCAACTTATTCTAGTCCTGCTTCCCTCCTCACCACAGAACAGAGACTGTCTTTGTCAATGGCATCCATATAAACACAGACTGTGGAGGAACCACGGTTCTGGGATTATTGGACCTCAGTGCAGCATTTGATGCTGTTAATCACAGCATTTTATTGGAGCGTAAGGGATTCTCCCCACAGCTGTGAAGTGTCCTCTGTCTCCGCTCTTTTACAGCCAACCATTTTGTTTTATTTCCTTATTAAGGAAATAAAACAACAGATTTGTCGTTGTTTTGGGGATAAAAAAAAAATCATTTAGGTCCGTTAGATACATTAGGCTTTAAAAACAAACATTGCATTTCCGTTTGACAAGGATCTTATCAAATAATTATTGATACTTTCACTGAGATTTAAATATTTATAGGGAGAGGATCTTACAACTCAGTTGACTGAATATGAGATTTAATCATAATTGGTTTAGGTATTTTGAGCAACATGTGGATCATTTTATTTTTATGGATTTTTCTGCAGTACATGAAGAACTACTGAAATGACTTTAAGGTTACACATAAATAGATTAATTAATTCCGTAAATAGATGCATTGATCTATTACCATTCAAGAATTCAAGAATAAATTCATGAGGTTACCGTGCTCACAACAGTCTACGGAAAGCCATTTTGATATGTATTACTGAGTTTTACTGAAAATGTATTCCTGATATCAAAATGACCATTTCAAACTAAGTGAGATTCTTCAGATCTAGATTAAACATTCTGGATGACTAGAAATTAATTTTCGATCTCCATAGTCCTATTGTTAGTGTTGTGCATTAGTGTTATTTTAGCTATTGTTGGGAGCTGGAGAAATCCCATCTTTCTCCAGCAGAGTCCGCCGTGGATCCTCTGAGGGAGCCTCCTGCACAGCTGCAGCTCGTCAAAGATCATCAGAGGATCCACTATATAAGCTGTCTTCAGACCTTGCCTCAACGCCGCAGTGTTGTTCCAGTTGGTCAGCGCTAAAGCCTAGATCCTCAGTGTATCTCCATGACTTTGAATCCAGTCTGGATTCTAACTACTGTCTCTGTTTTCCAGGAAACCCGTGCCTCCTCTGTGAGATCTCTGGAAGAGCTAACCTGCCGAGCCGACCCTCTGAGCCAAACCCTGAAGATTCACAGAGAACCCCCAAGCAGCTCAGGACTAGAGCTGGGAAATCTAAGCCAAGGTCTGTTCAAGCTAAGACGTGAGACGCTGAAGCAGCAAACGGACTCTTCTGACAAACCCTTCTCCAGAACCAACAGTGACTCTCCCAAGGTTAACCTGAAGAACCCTCAAGGTACAATCAGTGAACCAGTGGAAATCAAACCCTGTCAGCAGTCACTAACTGTGCTGTCTCTCACGCAGACTCCGGTGAACCAGTTCCCAGGCCCGAACCAGAATCAGTACATTCTGTGTGTTTTGTGCTTTAATAAACTGTTCAACTTTTCATACTTGTGTCCGTCAGTGGTGTTCTGCATAACTGGGTCTCCTTCAGTGAACCCATCATGACAGCTATAAAGAAATTTATTTCAGATATCATAAATACATATTCAGTCAAGCTGATCATTGTCAGAATGGCCAACTAAAATGTGTAAAGTTGTCTAGATATACAAAACTTAGTTCTTACTAGAATAATTTATTGTTTTTATTTTTTAAAAAGTGGATCAGACAGCTTCAGCTGATTCAGATGCTGCTGCCTGCATCCTCACTAGAACAAAGGAAGTGAAAAACATCACCCTAGATCCAAAGTCCTTCCACTGGCTCGCGTATCTCAGAGAATAGACTTTAAAATGCAATTGTTAGTCTATAGGTCCCAGAATAGCTTAGCTCTCAGGTCTACTGGATCAGGTCTACTTTGCAGAACCAGAAGCAAACACACAGAAGCAGCTTTACAATCTTAGGATCCACTAATCTGGAACAAATGCCAGAAAACTGTAAAAGCTCTGAAACCCTAGTTTGCTGTTAATCCAGAACAAAAATAAAAATCTAATTGCTAACATTTGC